GTCAATAGGAGATTATATACCTTGGCTAATTTTTACTAATGACATGCAAAGAAAAAGAGGAAAAATCACACTGTAAAAAAATAATCTGGTTTCCAACAGAGCAGAAACTGTTGGCTTTTTCTGTCCGGTGGTAATGAGCTGTTGAAGGGAAAAGCAGCTGATCTTCCAGCTGATCTGCAGGATCTTTTTGGTTGCAGACATCCAGAAAACCAGCTGTCTAATTTAAATTGAAAATATTAGAAACAGAGAGATTGACTGTCAGATCTGTCAAACTCAAGATCATCCAGAAGAAGAGACAAGATTTTCATTGCCCCATGTGACACTCCATCAACACCAACTCAATCTGAGATTGATGACTCATTTTCTTTCCTTTTGAGCTTTTCTTTCACTTCTTGCTCTCTTTGGCTGCAGAAAATGAAAAGAGATCCTTGTTATTTGAGGTCAGACAGAGAATATATATATTCCTACAGGGTTCTCTAAGCATCCTAAATGGGTTCCAGTTTTTTAATTTAATTTAAAAAATAGTCGATATGAACCATATTATGCACCAGAAATCCTTTGAACTCGACGCCGTTCCAACTTCCAGGTGATGTGGCAGCGTTTTGTTGCCATCTGTTGCCTCTACATTTATCTGAAGGACTCGATTTTCAGACGAACTGCACAAATTGTTAAATTTTAGACATCTGGTGCTTTCATTCTCAGTTGGCGTCGACTAATTAGCCGCTAAGTTGGCGGCTTTGAAGCACAGACGGAGAGTAGCACCCACCTCCAGTTGATTGCATGAAAACAATCAGTTCATAAACGGCGTGACAGCAATAAATATATATTGTAAAAGAAAAGGAGCTCAAGAAAATCTTTGAAGCAGGATGCGGTAATAGGCTGTAATCTCTGTTGTGACTGGTTCATACTTCATGCTGCACAGCTTTAAAAAATAAATCCAGAGAAACAGTTTGTGGCTTGAACATTTTCTGGTTTTATTCGGTTTGTAACTTTGAGTTATGGATTTCCATTAAATATAATATTGAGCACACAGCTCTGATGCATTGAATGGTTCTGATCCATTTGGGACAATAGTTATTTCTGCTGTTTTAAACCAGTTTGTTTCAGTGGTGGTTATAAATATATCTGATAGGCTCATAGCTTTTGCTTTTCTTCTTAAAATGTATTTCTTTTGTTTGGTGTATTTGATGCTTGTGTGAACATGTTTCATCAGACTTCACTTTTTTAGTTCAAATAATACAGATAATCTATTTTAGTTGTGTAATTTCATATGTATGAATACATTCTGGTGACTGAAGAGCAAAGTTTAAAGTTTCAATACACGTTCGCCTCACTTCTACTGATTTATTTAAATGTTCAAGAGCTAGGAGCTTTCCTCTCCTCCATGTTTATGATGCGAATAAACAATGATACTGTTGTTTTGAGATTATTTTCAAGTAATATAATGAAAATGGCATCATAATAGTAATAATAATAATGATAATCCAACAACACATTCTCAAACATCAATAAACTTTAAATTCAAACAAACATTTAACACCAGAGGACATTTTAAATATCCAAAATAAGCAAAACAACAAAAACAATAAATAAAATTAATTATAAACAAAAATGCTTACTTGAGACCAAAACACTGGAGTGAAAACATTTGTCATCCTGGTTTTGGTACAAAGATAAAAATGATAAATCATGAGCTAATTTACATTTATATTGTGATTAATTGATTAATTTTGCAGAATGATACTTTGTCCCAGAAGTTATTACAATTAATGATAATATTCTTTTGAGTAGAGCTGAAATGATTAGATGTATTAATCGTGATTAATCAATTATAAAAATAATTGTTAATTCATTTCAAAGTTGGATAGAGACTCAAAAAAATAAACTATTCAGAGCAGAAATTAAGCTAAAACTGTGCAATATATATATATATATATATATATATATATATATATATATATATATATATATATATATATATATATATTCTAAAGTTTAATGTTTTTTCTGTGAACCCTTCCCAATAAAAAAAATAATTTTCACCTGGAAGTCAATTCTGTTTATTCTGATGTGAAAAATTTGATATTATTGTTGATTTTCCTTCAAAAAGAATAGAAAATGTCCATTAAAGTCTGAATGAACAGTGGCTGGATGCTTCCTCTTTGCTGTCTTAATGGATTTTTAATGGGTCTTCCAGAGACTCCAAGAAAGGGTGTACTGGTCTTGCTTGACTCGCGCCGAACAGATGGGAATCCAGGAAAGTGAAATAAAAGAGTTTATTGATCCAGCAGCTTAATTAAACAGGACTGAGTCAGAGGATTTGGACTGCACAGAGAGCGAACATCCCAGCATCTGGTGTGAACTCTGCCCAGCAGCCAGACGACTGGTGACAGCCACATCACAAATCTTTGTATACATACAAGTCTGCACAAATACTTCAAACACGTCCTTTGCTGCAGGCTCAGGAAGGCAGCTAAACGGAGAGAAGGGAGGTAGAGGCGGAGAACGACAATAGCTTTACAGCATCCCAAAGGATTGTTGTATTTTCCTCTGCAGTAACTCGCTCTTTAGGAGCCTGCTGCAGTTTGTTTTCACCTCTGGGCTTTTCCGGCTTGTGCCTTTTTCACTTGGCTGCCTTATATCCTGCAATACCTATTGTTTTCGATTAAGTAAACAATCAGATTTTATTAATAGGTATTGAAATAACAGGTTTTAGTTCCAAGGTTTGTACATGTGATTGAAATCCTTACAAATATTTGAATTACAATTAGTTGTAGCTATTTAAGCATTTAAGAAGATCATTTACCTTCCTCTGAAATTGTTTAGATTGTTTCAACAAGACATTTATTATTCCTAATGGCTCAACGATCATCTTATATTGTGTATGTTAAACAATATTATTGAAATTGGGGGATTTTTTATTTATTTAATCAAGTAAGCCTTTCTTTTTAAAGTATTTAAATCCTCTTTTTTCTTCCAAAATTTTAACCAGGTGAATCTAAAACTATTCCTCTTGAGGAGTGATGGATAGGAGATGCTTAAGTTAAATGCAATTTAATTTTACAATTATTTCAATAGTCGATTAATTAATTGTTTCAGTCCTGAAACTTATCACGATATAAGCGTTTCATATGAGTCTATCGATTGATTAGTGTTTAGTTTTAAATATCTGAGGCTCGGTGGTGAAACCTGAAACTGCTGCTGCGCAAGTCACCCGGCAGGTTGTTGCTAGGTAACCACTAGTTACTCAGGAGGCTGTTGCTAGGTAACCAAAGAACGTGTGAGTCATTTGATTCCACCAATTTGAGAGGTTGAGCAGCTAAAGTCTTTCTTCTGCCTACATCTCCCAGAATGCTTTGCAGTCCTGGATCTGATCATTATCTCATTTGTATTGTTTTAATCTCCTTTAAGTTCTGGTGCTGGAAAAGTTTGACAACTTACCTTGAAAAGTGCTTGGATTTGACTGTTAAAGTTTGGGACCTGGACCGGACTCCGGCAGGCTGTCGCACAGAGACTGATGAGGCCTGGCAGGCAGGCATTTAGGGAGGAGCCCGTCTGTTCCACGATGAGGCTGAGCCAGCCGCCATCCATCTCCATTACACACATCCACATGCCACTGGGCAGGGGACAACTCCTCTGAGAGTGACCGAAGGAGGGGAGGAGGCGGGCGGGAGCGAGTGACTGTCAGAGTCCTGTTATACTGTTGTTCCCTGCTGGTGCTCCTCCGCAGTTTATGCATGTCACGCTGCTGTAAATCACTGACAGAGGAAGAGGAGCAGACATGATTTGAATGCATGCGTCATGGCAGCTCAGCTCGCTGTCACTCCTCTATATCACTGTTGAGTTTTTGGGTTTTCATCAAGTCCGTGGACGACGTCTTTTATTTATTGTTGACTTGTCTTTTTCCATTGGGTCCACGAGGGTTGAGTTGATGAAAACAAAGCAATATAACAGTAAATGTGTAAAATATATCTTATGATTCAGAATATTAAAAATCACATTGTTATTGATGGGTTATCAGTTCATCTCAGTCAGGTTTAATTAGCTATGATCTGTAGGTGTTTTCACTTTATTAGTTTCTGTTTTGATTATTTATTTAGTCAGTTCTTGCCATTGTAGTTGATTCTGTGAGTTAGTTTTTTATTGCATTGTTTGTGCTTTGGACTCGTTTCCTTACATTAGTGTTTCTTCAGATCCAGGTTTTGTTCTGTTTATCTTTCACCTTCCCTCCATCTTCCAGCTCTCTCCTCTTCCCAGATGTTTTCTGTCTTCTCATCTCTCTTTTTATTTTGCTATGATTTTCTCTCTTTCTCTGTTTCCTTTGGTATTTCTCCGTTTCTCTGTCAGTTTCTCACTCTCTTTTTCTGTCTTTCATTTCTTCTCTTTTTTCTCTGTTCATGTCTCTCTCTTTATCTCTGTTTCTCTTTCTTTCTTTTTTGTCTCTCTCTTTCTCTCTTTTTGCCTGCCTGTTTCTCTCTTCCTGTCGTTGTTTCTTTCTCTTTTTTCTGTCTTTCTCTTTCTCACTTTTCTCTTTCTGTTTCCTTTGTTGATCAAAAATATAGTTTAAGTAATTTAAATGCTCGTGATAATTATATATCCAGTTTACTTAATTACACATTATGAATAAATAAATTCAACATAAAAATCTCGTAATTTACCCACAACAAACCAAAATCAGACTCTTAGAATAGTAATAAAAGCAGAGAAAAGTGTTTTAATTAAACAAAAAATAGTTGTTACAGCATTTTTCTTTGAGAAATAAAACTCAAATCTATTTGAACAGATCTAGACGCTGTCACTTCATCTTGATATGTTTGCATTACTTTCTTAAAACGTGCATAAAAAACATTTAGAGCCGTAACGAGCAACATCTGAACAGCTATAATCCAGGAATACAGACCAATCACATTCATAAAAGTAAAAGTGCTTTTATCCCCTGCTAACAGGCTCAGGTTTTTATTATTAGCGTCGTGTCTAACATCATTTCTGTCTCGCCGAAGGGGAGAGTGTGGCTCTGAGATCTGGTAGGAGGCGAGTCATTGGAGGAAGATAACGGCGTGGAAGTGAGCGGAGGCAGCCATCTGGAGAAGGAGTGAAATAACATTACACACACCTGAGGTACATTAAGTGTTGCTTTCTAAAAACAGGGCAATGTTTGTGTTCTTTTAAAGTGGAGCGTAAAATGCTGAGCTTGACTTCGTGGGGCTTTTATAAGTTTCATTAAGAGGACTGGGACACCCTGGAGTCGTGACTTTGTGCTACAGACGGATGTGAATATAATGCTCCTTAGAAACTTTCTTTAGATTGGGTTTAGGGGTGCAGAGGTTCTGCAAAAACACAAAACTCTGAAAATTAGAAACAACTTTTTGCACCAATATCCCCAAATTGGATACAAACACAAACATTAAATTACTGCTAATTTTCTTCTCCTTTACATGCACAACAATAAATTATACAAGTAATATTTTAATGAAACAAACATTACTGTAACATTTGCCATCATATTTAAAGTTATTTAATATTTTCGGCCAATTGTGTTTTTAGCTCATTTTCAAACATTCAATCATTCTGAAACCATTTGCTGCGTTTAGCCAAAGTACATTTCTGAGAAAGACTTTATATTAAATCAAAATAAAAGCTAAAAGAAAAGGTTGTGAACATTTTTCATTTAAGATCTGGATCGACTCCATATACCTTTGCGCTATATTTCTACCACTCTTGGCCACATAAACCTATTCCAAGAGCCACAAATGGCCCCTGAACCACACTTTGGACTCCCCAGCGCTAATAATAGAACTGCTTCATATCTTGATAAAAAATTCTCCCTAGTCAATCAGCATCACCAGATATTTTAGTATGTTTTCATTTAATCACCAATGAACTGATGAAATTCAGTTAAAATTAGTGACTTTATTTGCAGAGTGTTACATTGATAACGTTTTTAACTACAAGCATATTGAATTGATGAAACATTAGTTACCTGACATGGTAACTTGTTTTTTTTAACCATAATTGTATTAAAATAGCTCTTGCTTCCCCTTTTACTTGGAATTTTGTGCTACTTCAGAGGTTGCGTGGATCACAAGAGTTGCTGTTTGAACTTATGATGTACCACCTCTGCAGCCAAGGGTTACATTTAAATAAAAATTCAAAACTTCTTTGCTTTCCCCAGAGGAATGTCCAAACTCCTCTGCATGGAGACATTAACATGAGAAAAACAAACTTTTGAACTTGGATTAAAGGGAAGTGAAAACCCGGTTTCAGAGGAGAAATGTCAAGTTTTCTGACATATAGTCGAGGGCAGAACTGCTACGAGACATTTGCATAAAAAAAGCCTAATATTTTCATCTGAAAGATTGAGGTTATTTTGCAAAACCAATGCTAGATGTTGATTTAATAAGAATGTACAATTATAATGATAAAAATGTTGAAACATGGGTTATTTGAGAGGACAAAATAATTCCAGAAAGTGCTTGCATATTTGGCCTCTGCTGCTGTAAAGGTCTGAGGGAATGAAGGACTTTCAGAGCATGTGTGATCACAAAACCCAAACAAAAATACAGCAAAATAAAGTTTTATGCAAATTTCTATCGGTTATGGATATGGATTAGAAGACTAAAATAATCAAACTGATCAACTGAACATTATATTTTCAGTTAAATTAATCTACTCATTCATAGTGTTTTGCATAATCTTGGATAAAGCAACAGGGTTTATCTAATTTTAGAACAGTGTCAGCAAATGGACGCTGCCATCAGCATTGCTACATAGATTAGCATGTCCGCACATCCTTAAAAAGGCTTAAATTGATTTAAAAATAAGTTTCCCTTAAATGCATTACTCACAGGTCTTAGTTTAGTTGTGACAAGATTATTTAATCTCATATATTCTGTGTAGTTTTCCTTTAGAGTCGAGCACAATTATCTTTATTGCCTTGTGTGACTTGAGTCGGTTGCGGCTACCGGAGACGAGCTGCTAATATAGCGTTGCTTGTTTTTCACGTGTAAATTCATGCAAATTGTTCAGCCCTAGGCTTACCATCGTTGCCAACACATGCAATTCTCCGTTGTGACATAGGTCTTAAATTCCATTGATGATGGTCTTAAAATGTCTTAAATTTGAGATGGCGGATCGACTACCTGCTGTAGTAGGATTAGCAACCCTGAACGGCCCAATGGGACCATAATACCAAGCAACTGTGGCTCATAAAGTCCAAAAAAGACATAGATTTCTTGTAGTTGGTTTAGATGAAGGCTGGTCTGTTTTCATATTAGAATTTCACCTGGAAGCGGATCGATACCACCTCAAAAAGTGGATCTCAGTGGTTCACCAGGGTTCGCTTGAGTCTGTTCACATCTGCACAAAAAATCTGGACCAACAGGGGTAAGAAACTGATCAATTTAAAGCGGATCCACAACATTAATAAAAAAAGAGGGAATTATTGTTGCTACATGTTTGATAGATTCGTAAAAAGTCCAATCTTTGCACTTCCTCTTTAGACTCTTCCACCAGTTGTTGAATGCAGGCCGTCTCTTCCCTCTCTTCTTTGCTTCCTGCACAGATTACCACACTGTAGCACAGTCTTTTCCCCAGACACACGTAAAGAAGGGCTGATGTTAAAAGTGGAGGCTTGCCAGCTGGTGTGTAATCACTGTTTTAACCTTCCTCTCGGTCATTAATCATAGTCAACACATTTCAGCGGGGTATACGATTCTCCAGCCTCTTTAACTGCGCCCAGTCTTATGTATTCATGTGAGCTGACGAGCAGGAGGCTTGATACAAGGCAGCTAATCAGGGAGCCTACCGTGACAAAAGCTGAGGACCTGGATAAAGAGCATTTATTTAAATGAATGGTAATTTAAAAAGTCGGTTAGTATTAATTTAAATGTGTTTGAAGGGCCAAACCTTGCCAGGGGCTGAACTTACAGATACCATTTAAAATTGGCACTGAATAATGTACAAGAAGACCTCTCTTTGCTTTATTTCTCCAAACCTACAAATCTCTGCTCTGGGAGTTTAAGCTTAGAAGCAAAATGGGAGAATAAATACTGTATATCTTTAATTAAATTTTGTAAACAGTATTTATTTAAAAGGAAAAATGAGAATAAAGGTATTTTACTTTTGGGGGGATAAATGTGGTAACAAGGCCTGCTGTTAAACCCATGCTTTATTTGATTTTCAGGAAGTAGAGTTGCTGTTCTTTGGAAATGAACCTTACTTTTTTATCTTGCACACATTTGTGCAGAATAACATGAGAAGTTCAGCACAGAATCATCCAAATTTGTCAGTAAGCCTTTTGTTTCTGTTGAAGGAAGTCTTGCTACTGAGTGAAAACACACAAGATATCCACACAAGTTTCAACCACCTCAGTTTAAGTGACTGAACTGCTGTACAGTCCAATCCATAAATGCAGTATTGGCAGAAATGTGTCCCTTTACTCCCCCTAAACTACATGGATAATGTCCAGTCTTCTTTCAGGTCTATTTGATCATTTTTAGTGCTTGTGCATTTGGATGGAAAGTGTGAAATTCACAGTATTGTGCTGCGTCACATTGGGTTAGATGAAGGCTGGTCAAGCACAGTTTTGCTATTTCAGTGATATAACCTTCAGATCTCATTTTTCTTTAAATTTAATGATCAATTGACCATCTTGGGATGAAGGTTTAGTGGGCCAAAGAAACATGCAGAATATTTAGTTATCTCAATGTGCACAGTAATAACATTACGCCTTGATATTTCAACTTGGCTGCATTTGTTTTTTCATATTTTGAATATTTCAGGTATGCTACAAAAAATAATCCACACTGAATTTAAAGTCACGTTCCACAGAAACATTTGTGAATATGTGGGAGTCTGCTGGAGTCTTATAAGAGGCAGGACTTTGAAAACTTCCCAACATTTGTTGCACTCAAAAAGTTTTATCTTCCTCTTCTTCTGCAAGTGCTCCAATTGGAAATTTACAGATCGTCATCTAAAATATTCCATCATCCAAGTATAATAACGTTACGTATTTTCTCTGATGCACCACAAAGCACATTTCTTCTGGATCCATTTTTGATTTCCATCATATTTCCTGGCAGAATTGAAGCCAGAAAGTTATTAGCTTCTTTAGATCTGGGGAGTATTTGGTTGGAAGACCTGCGACCTTACAAAAGCTCAGTGCTGATGCAGAAAGCGTGATTCCACTTCTCCGAGGGTTATCATTTATAATTTCTTTTCATCAGCCACACAACTCAACTGGTACAATCTATTTCTCCTCAACAGAAAGAGCTTCATGGGGTAAACTAGAAGCAATCAGTTGTTGTCTTCTGCACCTACCAGTCCCACCACCAGCTGTAAAGCATGAAGTGCATTAGTAAGATAACGCCTCTATTACTTTTAACAATACTGGCGTTCCCCAGTGGCGGCCCGCTGATGGTTGTTAGTCACAGCCATCAATTTGAGGGAAGCGCGACTTCAAAAGACGCTCAGATCTGAGCCGAGCAGTCAGCCATTTGAGAGGGAACAACATATTAGCCTTGCCGTGTTTGATGACTCCGTCTTCCAACTTGAAATGACGGTGTGAAATTATCGCAAACCGATTCATAAACAGACGCTGAGAGTTCAATCTCAGGACTTTTTAAAATTGTTTCTGAAACTGTTTGTCGAAGTAGTTTGCTTTTAAAGCTCCTTACTCTTCTTCAAACTTGACATTCACCTGGATATCCTTGCTGTTGAACAAAAATAAATTACTTACATTAATTTGTAAATCTCTCCAGGCATGTCAAGTGTGGAACAACAAGCCATTAGCCATCTCTTGAGATTCTCAAAAAACAGTCAAAATATTAATTACACAACTTTAAGTGCTGCAGAAATGTGCCTTTGGGGAACTGCAGGATTAATTTTGTTCTATATATTAAGACTTTAGTCAAGCACATTTTATTATGCATCACATTTAAAAGTAAGTTATGTGGTTTCAGATATGAAAGCTGCTTATTTCATAACTTTATGTTCTATTCAAAAAATATTAAATTTACGTAGGAAGTTCAAAGCAACCTTGTAAAAGTTTGAAACTCGTGTTTCTGAGTTTTACTTGTGACATTGAACTTAATTGTTCAGATTCTTTGTAAATGTTGGTT